GCGGAAACGCTCGCGCGGTTACCTAATCCTCATTGCTTTTCGTATTCTTTTATTGCCCTCTTTATTCCCTGGAATTTCCATTTAACCCTTTACACTCTGATTTCATTTCTCCGGGCAGCGGCGAATGTTTCATAACGGAACAACGATAAAAATTGCGTTCGGCGTCGGGAATGCGCGCGGCACGATGTATCGCTGGTCGGGAAAATTTCGTTGCGTATCGGCCGAGATCGACGCGTCGATTGCAAGCTTCCGAAATGCTCGGGTGTGGTGCCTGAAGACTGATACTTGATGGAAATGTTTAGTAACTGCGTGATAGTGTTGGTTGAAGGGAAGTGTTTAGTACGGTAACTAGATAATATGAATCGAATGGAAATAGTGAGGTAACTATATAATCGTGTAACGCGAGAACTGTATTAGCAGATCATCGGTATTCGTGATATCGTTAATCTTTATCATTGTAATATAAAGTAATATAATTGTACGGAATGTTTAATAGTTGTTAATATTACGTTACAGAAGAACATGGTCGGCAGAGCGAAATAATGCGAGCGACCCGGCCGAATAAACGGAATTTAAATACCTCGGAGGGAACCGACCGATCCCGAGAAGAAGAACGATAGTCCCGAGGGAGAGATACATCCGAGAACGGCAAGAAAGGATCCGTACGCGGCGGGGACGCGTAATTTACACGCGACGGGACCGCGTTACACAGTTCACCGACTTCAAAGATTACTTTTTAAGAGGCACTTGACCGCGATCCTTCTTCTCCTTCGCGAGGGGGTCGCGTGTTCGACGATTATTTGCTGTCAGTCCTTCGGCCCAGCCAACGATTATATTAATTATGGTGCGCCGAAGGTTGACATCGATGATCGACGTAAAAGGAAAACATCTCACGTTAATGAAAACGGAGGAATATAATTGCTCTGAAAGGGTTTAGCGAATGTTTCGATTGAAAGAGCTGAGGAAAATCATCCAACAATCAGAGAAATTTTACTGAATAGTTTCCCTGGTACTCAATAATGGTTATTATTATTTCCCCTGGTTGTAATAGATCTGGGAGAATGTAGTTAATTAAAGCTAACGTTGATTTTCCTATTTCATTCTGACAGTGACGTAGAAATGATCAATAATTCCCTCTTTTTGAAGGAGAATAATCACTGTCGAAAGGTACAGACGCGTGAACTATTAACATCGCAGTTCACCCCTTGACACCGCTTTAATTATTCGAATGATTTATCGCCCGACCGGCGGCCATTTTCTCGGCAACACCGTGGGTCTATTAAAGGGCCGATGCAGCCTCCAGTTCCGAAAGGATCATCGTATCGACACATGTCCCCTGAATCCGGCGGGTCCGCAACATTTTAGGGTGCTATCCCCGTTCATTCTTCAAAAACCGACCAGTGCATATGTCGGCGCAAGAAACATAATGTTATCAAGCTGTCCGGCGGAGAGAGGCCGTCCAGGCCCTTGGGGGACCTCTTCCTTATTGATATACCGAATAAACACACTTGGCAGCTAGACGAAGGATAGCTTTGCCAGGCAAATAGACTCGGACCACCCTTAAAGTGGAAATGGCCGGCGAAAATCTCGAGGATGCTATTATTGCTGAACGCGTCGAATGTACTGGCAATACGAAGCGAAAAGGCAAATGTAGATAAATGATAAATCAAGAAACTCGAGAGCATTAATTTACTTGGTTCTCTTTTATAAATGCGGGAAACTGAAACTGCTGAAATGAAGCTTAGTGTTTAATATAAATGAACAAACTTCGTTTTAGATTATAAAGATTAAGCTTCATTTTCTACTATTAACCCTTTGCTAAAACTATAGAATGTGATATTTAATGTTAATCTTTGTATAACGCCTCGATACGTGAAACATTGGAATAAAACAGCTTTCCTCAATGTACTGGTGATTTCTCTTCGAATTAGTCTCAGAGAACATTGTCTTCACCTCGTAAAGAAAAATATCCGAGTGTTAAATAATATATATATACCAACAAAACTATCAATATCTCCGAAGCCTGCTTTCAATCTCTTCACGAATTCACAGAATCCAAAAATTCAACGCATCTGTTCAAAATTTCAGCCCTAACACAGCGCTTCTCACTAATTCTCCATTACCTCGTGCAAAGGGTTAAATAATATACATACCAACAAAACTATCAATACCTCCGAAGCCTTTCAATCTCTTCTTCACGAATTCACAGAATCCAAAAATTCAACGCATCTGTTCAAAATTTCAGCCCTAACACAGCGCCTCCACTAATTCTCCACTGCCTCATCCCTTCTCGCCCACAAACGAAATCATCCCTCCCCGAGAAGTCAGGCCGCAATCAAACCGAAGTGAAACGTTACGTCCGAGTCTCGCGTTTCAACTTTCAACCCCTATCGATCCGGCGTTAGCGCACCTTGTCCGGCGGTCGGTCGGCTCGACGGTAAATAAAGATGGGTAGTTTTCCCATCAGCGTGCACCCTCCTGCCCCTCCGCCGCCGCAAACGTCGCGCGTGTGTATGTGCGCGGCCAGACGGTTTTAAATTCCGCGAGTCAAAGCGATGTTTGACATGGAAATGTTGAACGATGCATTAAACATGCCGCGCGGAGTGCTTCCTCTCTTTTCCCCCGGAAAAAGGGAAACGGAACCCGTCCGCCCCGCTCCTCTCGATCGCCGATCGTATTGCCGGGAAGAGAGGCCCCCGAACTGGCCCCCGTCCCCGCCCGCGCGCGCGCGCGCGCTATTGTTCGAGCAATGTTTATTTAAGCAAACGAAAGCAGCCGCTTCTTCGACGAACCCGGATGCTGCCGGACCGGCTCTTCCGGTGCGGATCGATAGCCGAGCGAATGTACTGTGCGTTCTTCGGGAGACAAACTCTGAAAGGAATGTCTAATTTGTTAGTCTCATTTCTTTATCTCGTTTTCGATACTAATTTGCTGGTCGTCCAATCAGAGCTGTAAACAAAGTATGTAGCGAGAGAACCTTCTTGCCATGACGTCTGGAGGATAGAATGATGATGAGAACGTCTTCCTGCTTGTAGCTGATTCTGTTAGTGTTTTAATTAGGTAACACGTACGAGTAGGTAAGTGTATTAGATGATAGTTACATCGAGATTAACGGAAACGGAAGTCACGTAGCGATAAAATAGGGTTTGAAGATTGAGATTGTGATCAATGATGATTGGTAGAATTGGAAATTTTGGGAGAGTTTATTGTATTTGGGGATTTTTGGGAGGATTGTGTGGAGGGTTTGTTGATATTGTTGCTTTGAGAATTGTGGAAGTGTTGAATGTTTTGTAGGACTTAGGAGATGAATGTTTGCAAAGCTTGTTAGAGAATTTATTGAATGAGGAATGATGTGGGAAGTTAGTTAACCCTCTATGGGCTGGATTTTGTTTCGTGATAATAACAAAATTTATGCAGTATGAAATTAATAAATATCAATATACGAACATAAATTAACAATGTACTCAATAGTTTTAATACCTTTATTGAAACAAGTATATTTTGTAACTTTGAAGTTACAATGACGTTGAACGTAAATGCCTGTGTGTACAAAAGTTTATGTTGATTAATTATTTAATGTCATATTGTAATAAAAAATTAAATAAATAAATTTAACCCGGTATATTGATGTTTGACTTCAAAGTTACACGAGCCTATAGAGGGTTAATATCACTACAATTAAGTACCAGTCAAAATGACTGGTTTCGATTGTTTTGTTTAGCAATTATTGACATCTTCGAAGCATTGAATATTCGAAATGATTTTGAAAAGTTTCATTTCAGTACTATAACGAATGCCTGAAGAAAGTGGAAATAATCTATTGTTACAATTTTTATAGGAATTGCGTATGAATCGTATTAAATGCTCGGTAGTTTCTAGTGATATGGTTAACGAGGATAAGGTTTTATCGCGCTGCTGAGGGCTGGCAAAAAGGATAATTGTTATCGTGGCTCATTATCAATGTAGCAGGTAGAAGGCAAAACGGTGCGAGCGTCGCGAATCAGGGAATCGTGATTGGTGGAGTCACGTTTTGCCAAGGGTCGGAAGCACGCACCTGCGAGGGGCAATTTCGCTGGACCTTCTCGTAAAAGCAGCTCCCCCCATTGTCCGGCAAATGACATCAAGCTTATTGCATTATTTAAAGAGGCTCGCCTTAAGGCCGCTTTAAGGCGGCGACCCCACGGTTTACCGTCTGTCCCCGCGCGGGACGGTTTTCGGCGATCGTGCAATCTCAATCTTGTTAGAATTTTGAGAGCGCGGTAATACAAAGCTGCAGTTGATATTCATTCGATCGTTCATCGATAATTCGAGAGTACTTAGGTATTAACCCTTCGCACACGAAAGTTTTTCATTAGAAATATCAAACACTTTCCAACGAGATATAGACGATTGAAACTAATTTAACGATAATTCACAGATGAATTAAGCAACAGCTATTTTATTTGAATATTTCACATAGCAGTTTAATTCAAAATACTAAATATTCAACTTCATAGTTTTGCTGTATCGAATCACGTGGTGACTAAGTCACCTCTCGAGTGCATAAGGTTAAATGGTGGCTGAGCAGCAGAGGTGTTTTATTTAAACGTTTCACGTAGCAATGCAAACTTTAATTTAAAATACTAAATATTCAATTTCATAGTTTTGCTGTATCAAATCAAGTGGTGACTGAGAGTCTCTCGAGTGCAAAGGGTTAATTCATTCTTAAGAGTAGATTGGAACCCATTAGTTAAGGATTACTAATTTTTAGTATTATTTGACAAAGCTTTCTGAGAATTTTGATTGAAATAATTCTAAATAATAATAATTAATCATATACGCAATAATAAGTAATTATAATTATGTAATTCTGATCCTTTAAGCTTTAATTTCTAAGATATTGTTCTAGGAACTGTTAAGAAAATAGATCTGAAAATTCTTCAAAGTGTTTTTCACAGGTGAAGTTGAAACGTTCGATGATTTTAAATGAACAATCGTTTCTCGTTAGTGTCGATACTCACCAGGAGAAATGCCGAGTTTCACATGGAGGCTGCTGGGGCTTCTGTGATCGGGAGTGGTCACGGGGGCGGCTATGGGTGGTGACAGGTGGGGGAGTGCCGGTGTTCCGCCACCTGTCGTCGTCGTGGTAGTCGTGGTGGCGCAGGGATTTAGGGGTGAGGTCCTCTTGAAAGACTGCTCGGTCCGCCACGCGACCTCGTTATCGCCTATCCAAACTTTACCTGCGGGAATAAGATGATACGACTATTAATTCGCCTGCGTACCTGCATAGGGGTGCGTGCAACCCTTCAGTGAACGAAAAAAAACAAAGAACACATAACCGACATTGCCAAGCATTTAAGTCACGTCGAAAGAAATCGCGTTGTTAATTAAAAATTCTTAAAAATATCTATTCCAATCTTTTATTAGAATATACTTTAATTAAGCATTCGTTATACTATTCATTAGCCGATTCGAAAATGATAGAAGAGAATTATGCTAATGCGTTACGATCACGCGACTGATGATAGGCATATCTGGGTTAAAGTAGAAATCTGAAATTGTGTGGCCAACGCCCGTTATAATATTTATGATTTTCTAAATATGTATAGGCCGGCACCGCGGAATCTTGATCGAGAAATTCCGCAACGCGGAGGAGAAAGTCCGATTCGAAACGGAAACGGCCGGCCGCCGCGAAAATTATTCGTACGCAGCAACGTGTGGCGCCCTATCGGGCCGGGATCAAATTGCAAAAGGAGTTCCCGAAACGAATTCCACGTCAGCCCTCGCCCTGTATTAGTATAACTCGCGCTGGGGTCTTTGTTGTCCGCGCAGAAAATGGCTTCCTCCCCCTTCGAGGGCCCGCGTAATTAGCAACCCTCCGAATCCCCTATTTCTGCCAGTTTTCCCGGCCTTTTCTCCCGGTTTCCCTTAATTTCTGGGAACAATGCCCGCCTCTGGACGCTGTTCCATGCGCTGCAGTGTCTAATTACACCGAGGCGCACGGAATATTCCCTTCGCGCGGGGTGTATCGAATTTTCGGGGCTCGTTGTTGGCAGAAACGGCTAACGATCATCCCAGAAGTCTACAGCGTTGGATTTCCAATAAAACATTTTGTGTACAAAGTATCTTCTATCTCCGACACAATGTACACCTACGTTGCTAATCACATTTCTCAGCTCTTCGAAGATTAGAAGATTGTCTAATAATACGGATAATAAAGTTGCCAGAGATCTGGGAAGCAGCAGAGTTGCTAGGATACATAAAATACATTAACGTCGTGAAACTGCTGGAAGATAGTTTAATAACTCGCCTAATCGTCTTAATTAGCGCCTTGAAGACTCTATTACAGGATTACGGAATAGATTCGGCTCGCAAGATGTCTACGATTATGCCAGAAACCAAGAATCTCCTTGGATAATCTCCAACCAAACAGAAGTTTCCAACAACGGGCTGCCTTTTCTCCGGAGAATCTCAGGGAGGATCGTCAAGTGCGGATTTCCCAGCCACCCCGTACGTGACGCATCGAAGCCACGGAAACACGCGAGTATCACCCCCGCGCTCGTGTGTCGTGACTCAGACCCGGGTATTATTTGCTTGATGAATGATTTAGTCGGAGAGACTTAGCCCGGGCCGAGGCCCGTCTCTCTCTATCAGCATCTCGCACCCCGTCTCGCTCCGTCCGCTAACGAGGGAGAGAAGATGGCCGAGGAGAGGGAGGAAAGTTCCCGGCGAAGGGGTGGGTGGACGGCCAAGTGTTCCACGGCGGAAGGGAGGCCCAGGG